AGCAGGTCAGCTTGTTTTTCACTTAGCTGACCACCTTAAACGGCATGCACAGCCTATAACCTAGGTGCCAAGCAACAGTTAAGATCACCTTTCCAAAAATCTGAAAAAGTATATGTATAGCTGCATCACTTTGCTATACACCAGAAACTAACGCAATATTGTAAACCAACTATACTCCAGTAAACATTTTAAGAAAAAAGAAAAAAATCACCTTTCTAAAATAGAGTTCATTTAACTCCTAACCTTCACGTTCTCACCGGTACTCCAAAGCCTATCGTAACGATTGATAACCATTCCCCAAAGACCATAGATGTTCCTAAAAGAAATTAAGTTATGCTCTTTCACTCACTCTAACATTTTAAATATCCATATGTATTGTACTAAGAATTGTACTTGTAAATTCACTATATTCTTCACATCATATGCCAGTGTTGTCTGCTTGAAGGAATCCTGGAATTCTGCTTGTTCCTTGTCCTCTTAAGCAGTATCACAACCCAGTTCAGAAGTTACTGTTCCAAAACAGCCACTTAACAAGTAAATCTGATTTTAAGCTGTCCCATTCGCAAACCTATACAAATCATTGATACAAGCCTATTAAAAATACCTTAGCACACCAGACAGTTTTTCAAAGCCAGAACATTTATTGCGTGACTAATAATTGAAATCCTTAAGATGAACTGGATGCTGCAACAGCTGCCCTCTTGGGTTTGGGTGTTGTTCCTTCACGGAATCCATGCCTGCACCGTTAAAAACAAGAACAGTTACTTCAGCAATGCCAATGCATACATTTTAATTTTTGCTATAACAGACTTTTATGAGCTTATCTCAGTTAAATCTGAAATCAATATTGAATTCATATGTTCAGACATTTATTTTTACAACATCACTGATAAGCTGCAGTATTTACTTCCTTCTGCTTCAAGGTAGCCATTTCAGGAACACAGATAACTTTAATTGGAAAAAAGAAGAAAAAAGGGCAACATATTTGGTTGTACTGATCACTGGGCCAGTATTTCCCCACCACTTAAGATTCCTAAGGCATTTGTGAAAACGAGTTCTTAAATTACGAGCCAGAGATCCTACTTTCCTTTAGCCAAGGAAAAACAATGTGTTTAATGGTAGACATTTTCTCAACTGCTTAACTACTCTATAAGGTAACTCATTTAATATTAACACCTACTTGAAGTGTACCGTTATCCCTCTTTTGAGGGACAGACAGGTTGAAGTTGGCTTCACTTCATGCTCTTAACTCTTACACTGAACTAGCAGACCACTGAATCCTAAGCCTATACTACTGTATAATAGTCTTACACATTATGAAGCGCAAAGCGCACAGAAAGGTCACTTTAGCAAATGAACACAAGCACATCTAAGGGTGTTGTGTTTACAAACCCCCAAACTGTCTTCAGGTTTTTTAAAATTTGAAAACCAGGAATTCAGCAGTAGGTCAGAAATTCTGCTAAATATCCTACACTGCACAGGACAACCGCCCTCCCCAACAAAGATATCACCTCAGCTGAGACCTTACGTGGGTTAACCCCTCAAAAGCTACCACTAAAATGCAGTTTCTGTTTAGTCTAGATGGGGGCTGAAATTAAAACTCTAAGGCCTGTCTTTAAGTAATACAAGACTATAAAATTTCTTTCTACACAAACGCAATAGCAACTGACAGTTTTCTATAGCACATTTGCCCAAAGCCACAAAACCCCAAAGTCTCCTTTATGCACGATTATCTTGACAAATTTTGGTAGGAAAGTGAAATGTAGGTATGCTATCAAATGTCATCACATTTTCTGGAGTCTAGCTCCAACTAAGCCCCAGCATGTATAGTTCATACTACTGTTTACTGAAATATTCACAAGATCTAAACTAACTGATCTGAAGTTTATGGTGGCAGAAGAAAAAAATCCCTTGCTAACACCTCATCCCACCAACCAGGGCATTTGAGAGGATAATTATGCAAGCTCACAGAACCAACTACCACTGAAACATAAAAACTGTACCTGAATCTGCGGTATACAATTTTTAGGTGCCTCATTCGACCAGTCCCGGTGGTATTTCGTCTTTTAGCTTTAGCACTCCAGTTATCTAAAACACACGTTCAGGTGAAGGTTGTAAACGGTTTTCCCCACACACCTTGTAAGCTCTGTCGGTCAATATACTTAAAAATGCCCGCCTTGGGTTTTAACCCCACTTCATCGCTATACAGATGCCCCATTCTGCTAGGGGCCACCAAATGCTCAGTCATGCCCCACTGAGGTACAAAACAAACACGGGAGAATTCTCAACGCCATGATACACTCTATCAGAGTTCAGTAAACATGCACTTACACTTCCTCTTCCTCTTGGCAGGGTAGCCACATTTACCACAGGTCGACTTCTGAAGGTGGTAGGCCTTAGAGCCACAGCGGCGGCACAACGTGTGCGTCTTATTCCGACGCTTTCCAAACGAGGACGTTCCCTTCGTCTACAAGTTAAGGGAACAGACGATTCTTCAATCTAGCAATTTCTACACACGTTCTTACGTTTTCAGTTAAAGAAACTATTGATAAGATTTCATGACAACCACAAGGTCTCAAACTGTGGGAGTCTGACTTTTCTTTTTGTTTAAAATGTGGTGTATTTATTTTATTTACATGTTTTCAAGTCGACTGCAATGTATTAACAATTCAAATGCTATAAACATAGCAGAGTCTGACTTTCCTTAAATGCTAAATCAGAGACCTCTATCGGAATTTCACGTCATCTAATGCCCCCTGCAAGAGGTGCTGTGTTTTGAAATCCGCTACATTATTAAAAAAAAAAAGATATAATGAAAAAGACGAGATAACGTGGTTTTCCTACCACTCCTACTCCAAAATCTAAGAGCTCCCGCCCAGAGACCACCGCCAACGATTCCTTGGCGTACAGAACCACTCTCAAACTATGCTTCTTCTGTCCTTTCCCATAGGCAGACAGGGCTGCGCAGGCTCCCCAAAGTTCAGACAGAAGCAAGGTGCCTAGAGCAGCTGCAGCTCCACGACTGCAGGCCCCGCACTCCCAGACAGATAGGGGCCATTCTTCTGCCTCTCGAGGGCCACCTCAAGTCCCTTTCCTGCCCACCGGCTCCCCTTATCGGAAACCTTGCCGGGCCCCCACGGATAGCAAGGAACGCGGCGCAGGGCGCTAGGATGGAAGCCGATTCCGACAGCCCTTGCAAACAACTCACCATCTCGCTTCTGCCGCCGAGGCCAAAGAGAGCAAATTCGAAGGCACTTCCGCTATATCGCGCTCAGAAGCTTCCGCCCAGGAAAGTACTTCCGGCGGGACGCGGTGCACCGCTCTCAAGCGTCCGTTGCTGCAGCGTGGGTGGAGTCGAGAGGAGGATCCCGAGCCAAGCGGGGCCAATAGAAGGTTCAGAGGGGCGGGGCTCACAGTTTTCTGGGTCCTGGGTGGGCGTCTGTGAAGGGTTCGGATTAGGACTGGGGTTCTTTGCCAGGTTCTTCCGCAGTCCCGCCGGAAGCTTTCGGCTGACGCTGATCATCGCTGAGAGGTTGCTAGGAGGACGGAGCTGGGCTCAGGATATGAAGAGAAAGGCAAATAATGTTTTTTCTAACTATAGTACTTTAGAGGCAAAGGATTTGATCCCCAATCTTGTTATGCCAAGGAATCAGACGTGGAACTTGTTAAAGTTTCCTAAACTCTACCGTGAGGAAATCTGGTTCAGCATCTTTGGATGGGGCTTGGACATCTGTACTTCATTCAAAACACTATAGTGTTGGGCTTCCCTGGTGGCGCAGTGGTTGAGAGTCCGCCTGCCGGTGCAGGGAACACGGGTTCGTGCCCCGGTCCAGGAGGATCCCACAAGCCGAGATCATTTCTATCCAAATGCCAGGTTTAGGTCGGCAGGAATGACTTCTGAAACAGATGCTTTTGTTACAGAGTCCAAGCTCACTCTGCTCGCCGCACGACAGGCCAATAAACTGGGAGACGAGGTGTTGAGGCCAAGAATACGACTTTATTTGGAAAGCTGGCGGACTGAAAAGATGGCGGACTAGGGTCCCCAAAAAACCAACTTAGCGGGGTCTGGATGCCAGTTTCTTTCATAGAATTAGAGAGGGAAGTAAAGTAAAAAGGCAGAATAGAGAGGGAGATGCGGGGAGGAAGTAAAGTAAAAAGGATGAACATCTTCTGGAATGACCAGCCTCCGGGAGGGGATGGTTAATTTCTTCTTTCTTGCAGCCATTCACAGGTGGGTAGGGTTCCCTGAGGCAGTCCATTATGTATGATTATAATAACAAAAGCTACGAGAAGTAAATGCTAAAGTCAAATAAACAGATCCAACATGGAGTCAAAATTGGGTCTTCCCTGTTGCAATCTCTGCTGTTACTTACGGTGTTTTGCCTTTTGACAGAGTGATAGAGACTTCATAAATCTTGCATCTGTTATTCTGATATAGTTCAGGTCTCTTGACTTGACCTGCCTTCTTTTCCTACAATAGGTGAAATTAGTGCTGACTTTTCTCTTTAAGAAAAAATCACATAATTTAAACTCCTAGCTGCAAACAAAATTTTTACACCTGTTTCACTGTATTTGATGTGAGGGATATATTTTCTTTTTTTGTTTTTTATTTTTATTTTTTATTTTTTGCGGTATGCGGGCCTCGCACTGTTGTGGCCTCTCCCGTTGCGGAGCACAGGCTCCAGACGCGCAGGCTCAGCGGCCATGGCTCACGGGCCCAGCCGCTCCGCGGCATGTGGGATCTTCCCAGACCGGTGCACGAACCCGTGTCCCCTGCATCGGCAGGCGGACTCTCAACCACTGCGCCACCAGGGAAGCCCAGAAGGATGTATTTTCAAATCTTCATCTCCTGGCCACCCTTCCCCCAGCTCACTTCTGAAACCGTGTAACTCAGATTGGGACTCGAACCCAGCCAAAACCCAGATTGGGACTTGAACCCGCGGTGTTTTAACTGAGATCACACACCTGGTCTCAGGATTTAGACCCACGGTCTTTTCTTGATGTCTCATCACAGAAAGAATCCAGTGAGCGACAAAGTGATAGGTAAGAAGTTGATATATTTAGAGAGAAACACACTCCACAGAGTGTGAGCCATATCAGAAGGCGAGAAAGGCACCAGGGTATGGGGTTGTCAGGTTTTTTAGGGGTGGGTAGTTTCATAGGCTAATGAGTAGGAGGAGTATTCCAGCTATTTGGGGGAAGGGGTGGGGATTTCTAGGAATTGGGCCTACTTTTTTTTAAATAAATATGTATTTATTTTTGGCTGCTTTGGTCGTTGCCGTGTGCGGGCTTTCTCTAGTTGCGGCGAGCGGGGGCTACTCTTCGTTGCGGCGCGCGGGCTTCTCACTGCGGTGGCTTCTCTTGTGGAGCACAGGCTCTAGGTGCGCGGGCTTCAGTAGTTGCAGCACACGCGCTCAGTAGTTGTGGCTCACGGGGTTAGTTGCTCCGCGGCATGTGAATCTTCCCGGACCAGGACTCAGACCTGTGTCTTCTGCATTGGCAGGCAGATTCTTAACCACTGTGCCACCAGGGAAGCCCAGGCCTACTTTTTGACCTTTATGTTTGGCCTTGGAACTGTCATGGCGCCTAAGGGTGTGTCATTTAGCTTGCAGATGTGTTACAATGAGCATATACTGAGACTCAAGGTCTAGTGGAATTAGACTAGTCTACCATCTTGGACCTCGGGCTATGTTATTCTTTTAAAGGTTTTGCCCTGCCCCCTTCCTGTTCACTTCCATTTGCATTCAAAGTGTGTGCCATGCAGATTTCCTGTTACCAAGGAACTGAATTTAAACTTCCTCCCCTAAATTTACATTTTACTGTGAAATATGCAACTTCTAATAAACACTTTTCTTCCCATCAGCTTTGAGATCTCCTGGAGCAGGTTCTTGTGGGAGAGGAGGGTATTTATGGGGAGCAGTGGGGAGGAGATGGGGTTTGAGAAGCTGGTTATTAGAATACCTTACCAACCAAGTTGAATTAAAAAAAAAGATTGGCAAACCTACTAACATTGCCAATCAAACTGTTAGTATTAGGTGGGATACATCTCTTGAAACCCATACCTTTGTGACACATTTTAAAACTCTCAACCTAAAGTTAATTTTTAATGTCATATATGGATTCTCATATTCTTTTTCAACCTTAGGGACGCCAGAATTTAATAAATCATTTTCCTTTGTTATGCTCAGCATTGGTCCATGCATGGCCTGCTTTCACTTACACGTTTAACTATTTACCTTTAATAATTTAATAAACACCTATAAACTCATTCCCAGATGATATCCTATGTCTAACTCCATGATTTCCCTGTCCTCCAATCCCATCCCATCCCTAACCTCCCCTAACCAAGGTAGCCATCCTTCTGAAGCCCATTTCCGTACTTCTCATTTTATATAATTATACCGATTCCATGTGTATTCCTAAAATGTGTGTGTATGTATCTGTATTTACATTATTTTGAGCTTTTCGAAAAGGGTGTCATGCAACATATAATATTTGGGGACTTAAAATTTCCCCTTAATATTGTTATGATTTATTTATGTATGCTGTGGGTCACTGAAGTTCATTCTTTTTCAATGCTGTATATTACATTATATGAGATACCACAGTTTACTCATCCAGTCCTGTTGATAGTTATTTAGATTGTTTTCAGGTTCTTGTGAACTATAACTGAAAATAAAAACCAACTAGATAGTTTTTTTTGTTTGTTTTTTTTTTGTTTTGCGGTACGCGGGCCTCTCACTGCTGTGGCCTCTCCCGTTGCGGAGCACAGGCTCCGGACGCGCAGGCTCAGCGGCCATGGCTCACGGGCCCAGCCGCTCCGCAGCATGTGGGATCCTCCCGGACCGGGGCACGAACCCGTGTCCCCTGCATCGGCAGGCGGACTCTCAACCACTGCGCCACCAGGGAAGCCCCCAACTAGATAGTTTTAAAAAAATTAAAGTCAGCTAACAAGACAAAAAATGTAAACTATTAAAATAAATAGAAATATTTAAAGTAGAAGGTATGAATACCACTGTAATCATATCACCAGAGATACCAGTGTTACAATTGGAGTATCTCTTTCCTGGCTGTCTTCTTTTAAATATAATGTATATGTATATACACATATTGTATACATACACTATACACATATTAACTTTTTAAATAAAAATGGGATCTATAACTTGCCATTTTCCATAATATATCATGGGTATCACTACTTGTCAATATGTGTAGATTTATGTCATCCTTTTTTTTCTTTTTTTTTTTTTTGTGGTATATGGGATGAGGGCAGACGGTTTTGTAGCTTTTGTACTTTTATTTATTTATCTATTTAAAGGCTTTATTGAATTTGTTACAATACTGCTTCTCTTTTATGTTTTGGTTTTTTGGCCATGAGTCATGTGGGGTCTTAGCTCCCTGACCAGGGATCGAACTCGCACCCCCTGCATCGGAAGGCAAAGTCTTAACCACTGGACTGCGAGGGAAGTCCCTACTTCATCACTTTTAACTTCATTTTGGTATTGCATTGGAACTGAGCAGAACTCTGCACCCCACTCCCACCCCATCCCAAGCACAAAGGCTCCTTCATGTCTCCTACCTCTTGTTTATAGAAAAGCTGAAGTCTCCCAGGCCTCCCTGAGTCGCAAAACAGCAAGCTCAAGCCATTAATGATTAGGACAATAGAGTCACAGACTCCGTGTCTGATGCACATTGCTGAGTTGTTTTACAGATACTATAACTGCCACCAGAGGGGAAAATTAATTGCATGATGACTAGATTGTAGCCATGACATAAGCTGCTCTAACTTGAGCAGTACTGAATCTATGGCTAGTACAATTCCAAGAACTGGCCTTAAGAGAATGGGATTAACACTATTGCTCATAATAATCTATATATTGGTGGGCATCAAAATAATTGTAGCTTGTTCTGCCTGCATATGTAAGTGGGCAACTAAAATTGTCAGCAAAGAGATGCTGCAAACCCGTGCTGACATCTTCTACTCTAAGAATATGGTGCCCTTTGTCAGAATGAAGAAGTTACAGAAGACAGACCTTCGCCCATGATCTCGTAGAAATGGAATGATGTTCTGACAAGTGGGGATTTGTAAGCAGCTTTTGGCAGGAGAAAGCTTTTTGCAGGAAAGACCTCTCTGCAGGAGGCCCCTTTTGCCTTGTCACTAACCTGAAACCAGGCACCCCCATGCTCTACTCATCTCCAGCCCTAGCATGCTTTTCAAATCTTGATCATACAATACGTTGCCTAATCTGTTGGTTCTTTCTATAGATCAAAGAAACTGAAATGAAGAATAAGTAATTAACAGATGACCAGATCTCTTCCCTAGCTTCCCCTTCAGTAATCTTGCAAACAAACTGTGTGAACAAGATAGCATCTAAAGAAAAATCACAGGAAGTTGACAAGCCTGCATACAAGTCTGCACACAGTGGGGGATGGCGACTCCCACCCCCTATCTCAATGATTGAGATTACTTCCCTTTTTCCCTATAAAAACTTTCATGGCCAAGCATAAGTTTCAGAGGTGGATTTTGGGGACACTGAGTCCACCATCTCCCCAGATTGCCAGCATTCTGATTAAAAGCAACTTTCCTAACAACATCTCTCTCTCTCTCTCTCTCTCTCTCTCTCTCTCTCGCATATATATTTTTTTAACCTTTATTTATTTATGGCTGTGTTGGGTCTTCATTGCTGCGCAGTGAAGTTGCAGTGAGCAGGGGCTACTTTTCGTTGCAGTGCACGGGCTTCTCATTGCAGTGGCTTCTCTTGTTGTGGAGCATGGGATCTAGGTGCACAGGCTTCAGCAGTTGTGGCACGTGGGCTCAGTAGTTGTGGCTCGTGGGCTCTAGAGCGCAGGCTCAGTAGTTGTGGCGCACGGGCATGTGGTATCTTCCCAGACCAGGGATCGAACCTGTGTCTCCTGCATTGGCAGGCAGATTCTTAACCACTGTGCAGCCAGGGAAGTCCCTCAAGTATTGATTTTTTGAGTGGTGAACAGCCAGACCTGATTAGGTAACACCATTGTTGATGTATCAACATTTGTTCCATAAACCCCCAATTTGTGGATATTTGAGTTATTTTCAATTTTCTGCTGTTATAAAAATGTTGTAATGCAGATTCTTGCACATACATCTTTGGGCATTTGTCTGATTATTTCCATAAGATAATTTCCTATTCAGTGCAGTGGAATTGCTGCACTGAATGGTATGAATTTTGATTTTTATCTGTCACATTTATTTATTTATTGCTGCATATTGACAGATTTCTCTCCAAAACGGTTAATCAGTTCACATTCTTATTATCGCAGATAGAGCCCAGAGTAGAGAATACCTAGTCCAATCTGAAGTTCAAGAGAGGCTTCTCAGAGGAGTGCTCAGGGGCTAAGTCATATGAAACTGAGTCAAGTCGTCAAAAAACGATAAATAACCTACAGGGAGCCAGGGTCCGTGGGGGCTGAGGGCTGGGTTCCCCCTCTGCTTTGGCTTGTTTCTATCCACCCTCTCCAACACTAGGCATCATTGACATAATTAATCTTTGCCAAATAGAATTACTCTTTGCCTTAAAAAAAAACAAAACAAAAACAAAAAAACTCCCCCCAAACTTGTATTTATGCATTGGAACTATTTCATAGTTCATTTCCTACTCTGCAGAGAACAGGAACATTGGCTACTGGGAGTGTTCCCTCAGAAATCATAGAAAAAGAATGAAAAAAGTTACTTGAACTCCTCCAACAAGATCCTGATTGTATCTTAGATACATTAACCTCTCAGAGGCTAATTTCTGAGGAAGAGTATGAGATTCTGGAGAATATTACAGATCCCATGAAGAAAAGTTGGAAGCTATTAATTTTGGTACAGAAAAAGGGAGAAGTGAGCGGTCAGCTTTTTGTCAACTGTTTACTTAGTACTTTTTTTTTTTAATATTTATTTATTTTTGGCTGTGTTGGGTCTTCGTTTCTGTGCGAGGGCTTTCTCTAGTTGCGGCAAGTGGAGGCCACTCTTCATTGCGGTGTGCGGGCCTCTCACTATCGCGGCCTCTCTTGTTGCGGAGCACAGGCTCCAGATGCGCAGGCTCAGTAGTTGTGGCTCACGGGCTCTTCCCAGACCAGGGCTCGAACCCGTGTCCCCTGCATTGGCAGGCAGATTCTCAACCACTGCGCCACCAGGGAAGCCCTACTTAGTACTTTTTCAGAGTCAGCTACCATTTGGGACTTAAATCACGGTAAGTTAAATTTCTACACTTTTTTGGGCTGAGAGGGAGGAGGCAGATTTCCTGAAAAAAAGAAAAATTTTACCTTTATTTTCATTTGTCATTCTCCTGGAGATAATTTTCACTGAAATATGATAAAAGGGAAAAGTGTCCAAGATTTAAAATGCAGGGAATGATGTATCTTATTGTTTTAGGGGATTTATAATTTTTTGTTCAAACTCAATCCAAAAGCTGCAATTGTTTTTGTGTTTTTTTTTTAAATATTTATTTATTTTATTTGGTTGTACTGGGTCTTAGTTGTGGCAGGTGGGCTCCTTAGTTGTGGCATGCTAACTCTTAGGTGCAGCATGAATGTGGGATCTAGTTCCCTGACCAGGGATCAAATCTGGGCCCCCTGCATTGGGAGCATGGAGTCTTACATGCTGCACCACCAGGGAATGTCCCCAAAACCTGCACTTGTTTTAGTGGTAGTATAAACTTATTCTGGCAGTGACATTCTGAAATACTCATAGTTGGAAAGAGACTACTGTTAGTGACACATCAGGATTTCCTTATGAAGTAAGTGAATTCATGGGTATTAACAACCTCAAGACCAAAAGCTGCATCTTTCACTTAGTATAGCCATTTTGAAAATATAGGAAAAATAATTTTTAACACACATATGTAGTAGATTAGCAACTTCATTTTTTTTTTTTTAATTTATTTTTGGCTGTGTTGGGTCTTCGTTGCTGCGCATGGGTTTTCTCTAGTTGCGTCGAGCGGGGGTTATTCTTCATTGCGGTGCATGGGCTTCTCACTGCAGTGGCTTCTCTTGTTGAGGAGCACAAGCTCTATACGTGCGGGCTTCAGTAGTTGTGGCTCGCAGGCTCTAGAGCGCAGGCTCAGTAGTTGTGGCGCACGGACTTAGTTGCTCTGCGGCATGTGGGATCTTCCCGGACCAGGGATCAAACCTGTGTCCCCTGTATTAGCAGGCGGATTCTTAACCACTGCACCACCAGGAAAGTCCACAACTTCGTTTTCTCTGTGAGAAGAATGCCAGCAGAACTTAAGTTTTCTGGAGCAAATCAAATTCTAATTTTTCAACGTTCAAAGATAATTAGTGGCAAATGAGGGCGCACTTCTTCCAGAATGAATTGTTTAGCAGTTTTGTAAATTACTACCAGAGACAGGTGTAGCTCCTTTTCTAAAAAATAGTGAAGATTATTTTAAGAGATGTTAGAGAGGCAGAGGCTCAGATAAAAAGATTAATGTTAATGGTCTCTAATGTAGTACAGGACCTGTATGCTTAGAGAAATAGGTCTTGTTATTTCCAGGACTTATTCCAAATCAGAGCTATTTGCTTCTTGATTAGAAATTATTAGGATCAGATTTCATTAGCAATGGCCTTATGTAGTCTGAGCTGGTTTGGGGTCACAGTAAATCCACAAGTAAACACAGGATTCAAGTTTTCTATTTCACTTATTTACCCTTTGAGTTTGCTGTGAAAGACTCGAACTTTTGAGCAAGGCAGGAGTGTGATCTGATATTTTTCAGTGGGAGGAAGTTCTGACAGTTGAGTCGTTGCCGTTTATGTAGGAGGTAGTAGGTATTCCTGTTATACAGTGAAATAAAGGAGATGATGCTTTGAGGTCATGGAAAGTCAAGTTATTATATAACATCTGTTAATTTCAAAAAAAGAAAATAAAAATCGCCCAACCTTTCCTATTCTTTCCAGAACTTTTAAAACATGAGTATATAGAGCCACCGCAACCTGTGGGGGTAAGCAGGGAAGGTATTTTTTATTCCTGGAGAGAAAGAGCCTGAGAATCCTGAGATCACCATGTCCTTCAAAGAGAAAGAACACTTGGATTTGGAAACCTCTGAGTCTTTCACGGACAAGAAGGCTGGTTATCGGGAAACTGCTTGGTCCTCAAGGGAAAATGAGAAGGAATACAACACACCAAAATTCACATCTCTGCAATTGGTTGAGAATGTTGAATGTGAATTTCCAGCAACTATTGAGTATTTACAGGATGAACAGAGATATGAGGAGCCAGATGATTCTTTACGCTTAGGAAAAGAGGAATATCTAGAATCTGTTGGGTACTCTGAAGATGCAGACACCCCCATGGAAGAGGATGCTTATGATGACCCAGAGTACATTATCTATGACAGCAAAGAGGACTCTTTGTATTCTGAAACCATGGAGTTCTCTGATGAAGAACAGAATTATGAGGATTCAGAAACTGGCATGTCATTGGAGGAGGAAGAGGAGAAAAGTATGGAAGGTATGGGAATGATGTGTGTATAGTTACTTAGGCAACAACTTATTTTCAGGTTGCCATGACATAATGGGGAGAGGGGCTGAGGAAAGGCACCAGATGGCAGCAGAAAAGCAGCTACACAAAAATTTCTTGGACCTCTCTAACTTGGAATTTCCTCAGAGGTGAGTGTTGACGGGGAGGAAAACCCAGGACCTAGGAACAGCGGACAGTATAAGCTAAAGTAAATATTGGCTATCAACTTAAAGGTTTCTGCAGTCACCTCCATCATACATAGAACCACTAATTTTAGCTGTTACCTTCTGTTCTCAGATTAAGCCTTTTTAATCATTTTAGCTCCTTTGTGACCAATGGAATATGGGGGTTATGAACCTGACTATTGAAGTGGGCACAGGAGAGGAATTTGTGATAAATGGATAAAATCCCAAAATAAAGCTTGTCTTGATCCAGTCCAAATATTGCCATTTTGATGAGGAAGTCTTGAATATTTCTCAATGAAAATTCAAAATATGAGAAATGCTTAATTTGGAGAGATATTGTCTGGGAAAATAAACATCACCAAGTTCTGAGTACAGAGGGGAAGGTAACTACCAACTCACATTCAGTCCAAATCCTGGGAATTCATAATCCAGTTATGGGTCAGAAAAGAGTAATTTCCTCCTCAGCACACCTTGACATGGTTACTAGGGCTGCTGTAACAAAATAGCACCACAAACTTGGTAGCTTAAACAATAACAATTGAAACCTATTGTCCTACAGTTTGGAGGCTGGAAGTCTGAAATCAAGGTGTCTCTAGGGTTGGTTCCTTTGGAAAGCTGTAAAGAAGAATCTGTTCCTAGCTTCTGGTAGTTTTCTGGAAATCTTTGGGCTTCTTTGGCTTGTAGAAGCATCCCCTCCACCCTCGCCCCCCCACCCTACCCCCACAATCTGCGTTCATCTTCACATGGTTGTCTTCCTGGGTTCATGTCTCTATGTTCAAATTTCCCCTTTTTATAAGAATACCAGTCATATTAGGTTAGGGCTCACCATAATGACCTCATCTTAACTAATTACATCTACCATGTGACCCCATTTCCAAATACCATTACATTCTGAGGTACTGGGGCTTAGGATTTCAACATACGAATTTGAGGGGTACATAATTCAACCCATAACACAGCTCTTGTCCCACCCCCATACCTTCCCAATATGTAGTTGCTTTTAGACCTCATTCTTAATTTTTTAAATATATTACAGTTGTTGCATAGGGTTGAATTAATTAGTCATTGCATACTACCCTCATTATTCTGCAAAAAGCCCCTTTTGTTCATCTATTTCATTTTTTTCTCTATTTCCCATTCACCTTCCTCCATAGGTAATTCTTTTTTCTTTTTTGCGGTACGCAGGCCTCTCACTGCTGTGACCTCTCCCGTTGTGGAGCACAGGCTCCGGACGCGCAGGCTCAGTGGCCATGGCTCACGGGCCCAGCCGCTCCGCAGCACATGGGATCCTCCCGGACCAGGGCACGAACCGTGTGCCCTGCATCGGCAGGCGGACTCTCAACCACTGCGCCACCAGGGAAGCCCCCATAGGTAACATTCTGATATTATGTGTTTCTTGCATGATATTGTTTTGTTTTACATGATTTTTCTGTATCATTTATTTATCACAATAATAGTATCTCAACGTAGCATCTCAAAATTAGGGTCACTTAAAACCATAAGAGTGTATAATTGTTCATGTGTCTATAGTTGGCAGAGCAGTTCTTCTGGTCTTCGCTGGGTTTACTCCTGTATCTGTGGTCAGCTGGCATTGGCTCATCTCTCATCTAGCAAGCTAGTCTGGACTTGTTCTCAGACTCTGCGAGGCATATTCTTATGGTGAGGGAGAGTAGTCAGAGAGAGAGAGAGAGAGAGAGAGAGTAGTGAAGGCATTTTTAGGCTTAGGCTCAGAACTATCACGCCATCTGTATGATAGGTTTCCTAGGGCTGCCACAAAATGGTGGCTTAGAACAATGGGAAATATATTGCTTCACAGATATGGAGGCCAGAATACTGAAACCGAGGTGTTGGTAGGGTCATACTCTCTGAAGACGCTAGGGAAGCAGCTGTTCCAGCCCCCTCTCGCAGCTTCTGGTAGCCTGAGGTGTTCTTTGGCTTGTAGACCATCTTCTTGGTGCATGTCTCTGTTTTCAAATTTCCTCTTTTTATAAGGACACTGATCAGATTGCATTAGGGCCCACCCTAATGATCTCATTTTAGCTTGATGACCTCTGTAAAGACCTTATTCACAAGTAAGGCCACATTTTGAAGTAGTGGGAGCAGCATATCTTTTTGGGGGGGATACAATTCAACGCATAACGCATACATACAATTCTGCCACACCCTGTTGGCAAAAGCAAGTCACAAAGCTAATTCGAATTCAAGGGTTGGGGAAAAATAGACTCCACCTCTTGTGAAGTAGTATTGCAAAAAGTATGGATGCCAGAAAGCCATTAATTGGGGCTATTTTTGCAATCAATTTAACACCTTTAAGAAAATAGGTCAAGAAAAATCTCAATAATAATGTGGTTATGGCCTGCAATATAGTTCTAATGGTTACCAATCCACTGTAGTTGACTGGAGGCATGTGGCTATCCTCTGTCTCTTTCCTCCGTAATATTTGTCTATGCAGCTGGGAACCGGAAAAAAAAAAAATCCAAATGCCTCTGAGTCAAAGGAGAAGGATCTTCACGCTTTTTGTCATGTTAAATTTTATGCCCCCCACGCCCATCATTGTGTCTCAAGTCAAAGTCTCAGGAAGACTTAAGGCGTTGCCCGTGTGCTCTGCAATGTATAAGGTCAACTTGTATATAGACTATATCAATCAACTCCCTTCCCTTCTAGCTTATACTAGTTGGGGTCAGTCCATGGTAGGAACCCATATATTTACCATTTCCTCTGCCCTTTCTTCTTCCTGAAGATCCAGGTTTTAACGTGATGTTATTTCCTGTTATCCTGAAGAATTTTATTTATTTTTTGTTTATTGAAATGTCTTTATTTTGCCTTCAATCCAGAATATTTTTGCTGTAATGTATTTCAGATTGGAGATTTTTTGCCTTCAGTGTTTTATGGATGTCATTCATGTCATTTGGCTTGCATTGTTTCTGATGCTAAGTCTTGTCATTTTATCATTGTTCCCCCTTAAGTGTTGTGTTACTTTTCTTCTGGTTGATTTCAAAATTTTTTTCTTAAAATTTTTTTCTGCAGTTAACTCTGACATGCTTAGGTGTGCTTTTCTTTGTTTTCATCTTCTGTAGGTTTTGTGAATCTATAAATTTGGAATTTTTTTTCTCAGCTGTTATTTATCCAAGTATTTTTCTGTCCCACTTGCTCCCTCCTCTCTTTTTGAGACTCCAAGTACATGTATGTTAGAGTTTCTGATATCTTTCCTGAGGTCCCTGAGGCTCCATTCATTTTTTTTTTTTTAATTTTCTCTTTATTCTTTAGATTGGGTCATTTCTACTGCTATATCTTTAAGTACACTGAATTTTTCTTCTGTCATTTCCAATCTTCTTTTCAGTCCATCTACTGATTTTTGAAAAAATTCGGGTATGTCACTTTTAATTCTAAAATTTCAATTTTAAATGCTTTTTTTTCCCCTGAGAATTGCTATTTAATCATTCATTATGGGTTTATTTTATTGTACATTCTTGAAAATAGTCAAGAGGGCTGCTTTAAAATTCTTATATGCTAAATCCAACATCTGGGTTGTCCTGGAGTGGGTCTCCATTGATCAAGTGTGCGTTACATTTCCTGTTTCTTCCTATGTCTCGTAACTTTGGATTTTGTCCTATGCATTGTGTATGATCAGTTATAGAGACTCTGGATTGTGAAATTCTCCAAAGTATCTTGGGTTTTTTTCGTTGGTTTAGTTCTCAATTAACCTGACTGGACTCAAATTCAAAACTCAGTCTCCTTTCAGTGGGTGGCAGCTAAAATCTCTGATCATTTTTTTTTTGCCTCACATGGGCTATTTTCATGAATTTTTAATTTACATAAATGGTATTGGGTTCTAGACATTTTTGCTTCTTAATTTTTCATCCATCTCTATGCTTATTAGGTATATCCCTGTACTGCTCCACAGTAGCCTGCTATTACCTTGTCAACGTTAGGCATCTGGCTTGGGCTGTGTGAGTACTGATTTCTGTGCTGAGGAAGTAGAGGATGGTTGTCCAAAGGAAAAGCAGGGGATAGGCAAGAGCAGAAATTAAATGCTTTCTGCAACCCATCTTCTCAGTGCCTCCTCTGGGAATCCTTCATGCTGGCCTTAACTCCTCCCTCACCTTTTTATCCATCATATATATCAGTTCAAGCAACTTTCAGACCATCCAAGGATTTCTTAGAGTTACTTTTGTTAATTCTTTTTTTAAAATTTTATTTATTTTTTTGGCTGTATTGGGTCTTTGTTGCTGTGCGTGGGCTTTGTCTAGTTGCAGCCAGCGGGGGCTTCTCTCCGTTGCAGTGCGTGGGCTTCTCATTGTGGTGGCTTCTCTTGTTTGCGGAGAACGGGCTCTAGGCACACAGGCTCAGTAGCTGTGGCGCACGGGCTTAGTTGCTCTGCGGCATGTGGGATCTTCCTGGACCAGGGCTCGAACCTGTGTTCCTTGCATTGGCAGGCGGATTCTTAACCACTGCGCCACCAGGGAATCCTTACTTTTGTTAATTCTTGAAATCCATACTTTCTCTCACTTCTACTGTTTCTTCTAGGCTATTTTTATAGGGGATCCAAGAATCTTATGCTAATTTGCTATCCATCAGGAGCAGAAAATGCTCTCTGATTTTCTCTCTCTACTAAGCACTGTCTCCGTATTCCCAAGAAGTGGCTAGAAGATAAATTAGAAAATGACATCAGGAGAAATTAGGTACAACATGTAAATTCTGAGAAAAGTTCAGTGATAACAAAATGTTCCATTTCTCCAAACTTTAGCAAGAGTTAACATGTAAGAAATAAGTTGGTATCAACCTAGAGAATTCCTCATACATGTGTGTAATGAAGCTTTAACAGGGTTTTTCATTGCTGCATACAAACATTAGCCAAAAAAATTGGAAAACCTAAATGATCACCAGTAGACAATTGTTAAATAAATAATGGTTCTTCCAAACCATGAAGTACAATGGATTAGCTAAAATGAATTAAGTAGGTGTCTATATATACTTACTTGGAAGAATTTGCAAGGAATACCACTGAGTAAAAAGTTTTATACCGAAGAAGAATCATTCAGTATAATATCATTTATAAAATAAAATAGCATCCATTAAACCAAACTGTGTATTTCTACATATGCAAACACACTTATGTACTTGCATAGAAAAAGGATGGGAAGGAAACATACCATACTATATTGACATATCTCTTAGAAGGAAATAGAATTGACAGAGCAATGAAAGAGAACTTTACTTGTATTGTTTCATCTTTTTTTTTTCCAATGAAAATGTCAATAACTTATTTAATTTAAAAAGTCATTGAAGGAAGCTTAGATGCTGAACACGACATTCCCTGACTATCTTATTTCCTACAGAAAGAAAAAACTGTTTAAAGATGTCCTGTCCTGTTTAAACCCGGATACAAACAGAAAGCTTCTGCCAGATTTCGTTAAACAATTCTTACACTGAGGATGTAGGTGGGTGACTGAGACTCCAGGTGACTTAGCCTGGAACTTCCTGATGAAAGTTCAAGCACTGGATATGACAGTCAGAGATTCAGTCCTCAGACACAGGTTCTGGGTGAAGATAGCAAAGGGGACTTTTTTTTTTTTTTTTTTTTTTTTTTTGCGGTACGCGGGCCTCTCACTGTTGTGGCCTCTCCCGTTGCGGAGCACAGGCTCCGAACGCGCAGGCTCAGCGGCCATGGCTCACGGGCCCAGCCACTCCACGGCATGTGGGATCTTCCCGGACCGGGGCATGAACCCGTGTGCCCTGCATCGGCAGGCGGACTCTCAACCACTGCGCCACCAGGGAAGCCCCAGCAAAGGGGAATTTTTGACTGGAGTAGAGAATTTGGAAATTAGACAAACAGAAACCATTAATTCCCTTCATGTCCTTTGTGCCTCTGTGCTATATTCAGATAGCTCTTTGCAACGTGAAGTCATGTCAAACACGTATCAGTGCCAGTTTGCCCTTCCTTGCTACTGCCAGATGCAGAAAAGCACAAAAGCATTTTAATGCTGGGGGCCATTAAGGACATTGTGAAGGAGCAGTCAACGCAGTCTTCAGGAAGGCCTACAGGGGATACAGAAAATTTCTGACTCTCATGAAGATGCCTGTCATCTCTTTTGTGCGTCTAGGATACTGTAGCTTCTCCAAGTCCAGAATCCTCAACACACTGCTCAGCCCTGCCCACCTGAAATCACACAGACTCTTTCTCCATCAGGATTTGCCTGTTCTGGTGCTTCCCCAGCAGATCTCTGATGGCCTGGTTGAGGTAACATGGAGTTTTCCTGATAGTGATGGTCTAAAGGAAAACCCCAGTTTTTTCCAGAAAGCTGTTGCTGTGGCCAACCTTTGTGGGGATCTAGAAAGTTTTTGGACACAGTTTGGTTTCTTGATGGAAGTTTCCTCTGCTGTGTTTTTTTTCATTGACTGCCTAGGTGAGAAGGAATGGGACTTGCTAATGTTTTTAGGAGAAGCTGCCACTGAAAGATGCTACTTTGTCCTCAGTCCACGGGCCAGGGGGAATGAGGAGGCTCAGATTTCCCAGAGGATCCTGAAGTTGAAGCCATCACAGCTGCTGTTTTGGGAGGAGGAGGAAGCTGGAGAGACAGGGAGGAACATGGAGGGTCTTCAAGCTGCCCTGAAAGAAGTGATGTCCTCTTCACTCAGATGTATGTCTGTGGAGGACATTGCACCCCTGGCCAGGGAGTTGGGGATACAGAGAGACCACGACTTTGAGAACATGCAGGGGATTCAAGTTTCCCCTACTGAAAACTTGGCTGGAACAGCTGAAGATGAGGGACCACAAAGACACAGTCAGCCAAAAAACTCATCTGAAAGCCCCGCTTAGATGTCAGTAAGAGAGGCTGAGGCTAGATGTGAGATCAGCCCAAATCTTCAGAATTTCCATCTCACCCCAGTATTCATGCCTCTTCTGAAAAACTACTGTCCTTTACCAACCAGAAATGGAGGTAATTTTAACCGTGTTTCTTTGATAGCCCCCTGGGTTATGGTCTCCCAGTTTTGGTTAGAGCAGAGGTCTCAGAGTTTCCATCCTTCACGCTTTCAGAATACAAGGGCCCATAGTCCGGGTAAAGTTTTGGGATTCAATAATTCCAACCTCAGAGATTTTATTCAGGTGAAAGTTTATGAAATTTTCAAGAACTGCTCAGGGACGTCACATGGATAAAACTTTTGGGAGACCACCAAGACCCATTTCTCAGCATGTACAGGCCTGGTCTGAGAGACCACAGAAAATGGGAGCCCTTGAAAGATCTGGGGAAGTGGACTCCCAGGGAGGTCACCTCCGTTCCCTGGGTTCACAGCCAGCAAGAGCGGTTGGGAAGTCACAGCCTAGGCAAGTCTGTGCCTAGGGAACACGGCCAAACGAGGCAATTAGAAAATTCATGAGAACAAAATCCCATATAGAAAATCCTCACCATCGAGCATTTCAAGCAGCAGGAGCCATACAAAAACCCATAAGGACTGCCTCTCAGCAAGGAGCTAAGCTGAAGACACGAGGTGGGCCTTCAAATCCATCTTTCCAAATGGGATTCAATCCTATGTCCAACAGCAAATTTTTGCTCTCAGTTCAAATCCAATCAGCCCAAGTCGTGCCAGGCCAAGCAGTCCCAGCACAACCCTCTCAACCTGTGTTCTCTCAACCCAAACTCATTCAGACAAATCCACTCAGCACCAGCCCTCCAAGTCCCAGTCCTCCCAATCTAAGCCTTCTCAGCCCTAGACCTCCCAAGCTAAACCTTCTCCATCCAGACCCACTCAGCCTAAGCCATGCCAGCCCCAATCCTCCCAATCTAGGCCTTCCCAGCCCAGACCCACTCGACCCAAGTCACTTCTGACTGGTCCTTCTCAGGCTAAGGCATATGACCCAAGAGCAGGGCCCAAGAGGGTAGGGAAGCATTAAAGTCCTTACTCTGGAGACCTATGAAATGTATCCTTTGCCCAGGCCTTTCCTATCATATATATAGTAACCTGAAGAAGAGTGGCAGTGATGGTAAAAGAGTACTATCATTAGCATGACACAGATAGCAAGATATGCACAGCCTAATTGGATATCATAAAAATATCTGTAAGAATTGTGTCCCTAAGAAAAAGGAAAAATACGAAAAGAGTAAAGAATAGAATCAAGCAGTAAATAAACGAATTGAATACAACCTTGAGTATTAGGTAATATATAACCTGAATCCAGGGAATGGGGGCTGTAAGACAGTTTCACTTGGAAAAGAGTGGGGATGATGCCTTTAGTTGCAAAGTGACCATAAAATAGAGCGCAAGTTGCGTCAGTGTTGCAAGAAAAACTGCCCTAGATGTTGGCTGCTCTAGAGGTGTTTTGGTCAAAAATTTTGGTTTGATATCAGCTGCTAAGCAGGTAACCTTGTTTGTTTGGAATGTTTAAATCAACTTGCTTGTGATAATAGCCCCAAATTGCTCGGATGATAAAACTCAATTGACCCTTACATATAGAAATAATGAACTAACAACCAATGAAATTAATTATTTTGCCTTAACTTTGGGAATGATCTGTGTATGTTTCATATTTTAAATGTTTGTAGTGGTTAAGATAATTTGGCTAATTAGAGGATCTGATATATTAGCCTCATGACTCTAACTTAAAATGTATAATCGAATTTTTAATTTTAGAGTTCTGATTTTTTTAAGTTGAAAAGATAAAGATAGGTTTACACAGTTTGTAAAAAGCATTGAAATGTTTAAGAGAACTTAAGATTCACATAATTCTCAACTTTAATTTATTAGATACATTATTCTAAACATTTGGTTAAGTTCTGCTAGTTAGAAGCAGTAAGTAGAAGGAATATTAAATTTAAAATATTTAAGTGAGGTTTAATTAACCAAGTTTGTGAGTGACACCAAATATTAATAAAAGACCACTTTATTTATTTATTTTTAGCAAATAAGTTTAACTTTAATTTGATTTTTGTGTGATTAATCTAAGTATTATAATTATAACAGAAACCAAATAGCTTTCAAATTTCTACAATTAAAAAATAAATTTTGTGGGGTTTTGGCAGATTGCTTTAGCTTCTCAGTAGAATGAAACATTTATCTAATATCTCTGTTACAAGGGTCTCCAAAGACTTCATGGATATTATCTTAATTTTATTCTTGCAACATCTAAAAGTCTACTTTAAAGAAAGATGTTAAAATTCACTAGATTTAGAAATAAAATAATAGGATTTGTAAGTTGAATAAAGAGCCCTGCTTTTTGAATCTGTAACTTTTATAAAATTAACATTAGTTTTAAGTACTAAAATAGGCCCACGTCTTTTCTGGGTAAAAAAAAATCCAAAATTGTCTTCAAAGACACACAAAAAAATCCTATTAACAAAAAGATGAGAAATGATCTTTGAAAAGGAATAATTAATCTCTTAAAAATGTTTAATTAAACATTTCCATATGACAATAGGTATCCTTCATTTGTGCATGTATTAAACAATCAATATTGAGTATTTAGAAGGTGTTCAATCTCTCTCAAGGTTACTGTAAGGGTGAAGAAAGAAATAGAGGACTATGCATATGAATTTTTGTCTTCTGGCAGGCAAAAAAGCATAATAATAAAATATTAGGTTCAAAACTACAAAATCTTTGGTGTAAAAGTGAAGTTTCTCACGAAAATAACCTTTTTGTTGTTTAAACTTTTGAAATGAGCAATAATAGTGCTTGTTTTTTTTTTTTTTTTTTGGTGGTACCCGGGCCTCTCACTGTCATGGCCTCTCCCGTTGTGGAGCACAGGCTCCGGACGCGCAGGCTCAGCGGCCATGGCTCATGGGCCCAGCCTCTCCGCGGCATGTGGGATCTTCCCGGACCGGGGCACGAACCCGTGTGCCCTGCATCGGCAGGCGGATTCTCAACCACTGCGCCACCAGGGAAGCCCAGTAGTGCTGTTTTTAAAAACTTTTCTCTATATCCTTCTTCAAGATTAGTTCCTGGAGGACAGAACTTGTTGGGTTATTGTCACCAATAGATTCTGTATCAGCCTGGGGTTAATAATATATATATGGTACATTCAAATTATACAATTTCAGGAGAGTTTAATAAACGGACTATTTATAAAGGGCTAGGCAATATGTAAAAACAGTACAAAGGAGAGTGCAGTACCCCGGATCTAGTAAAAGCAAGGCACATTACTACTCCAAGGTCTCAAGGGAAGGTGGGGGGAGTGCTTTCCCTGATCAGAAGAGCTGTGTGGGAAGGGTCTTGGGTCTGGGTGGTTGCAGTGACCCACAGGGAGGTATTCCAGGGAATACAGTAAGTCCCCTACAAATGAATGAGTTCTGTTCCGAGAGCATGTTTGTAAGTCCAACAAAGTTAGCCTAGGTACCCAACAAACACAATCTGCTATATAGTACTGTACCGTAATTGGTTTATAATACTTTTCACACAAATAATACGTAAGAAACAAACACAAAAAATAAAACATTTTTAATCTTTTTTTGTTTGTTTGTTTGTTTGTTTTTGCTGTACGCAGGCCTCTCACTGTTGTGGCCTCTCCCGTTGTGGAGCACAGGCTCCGGACGCACAGGCTCATCGGCCATGGCTCACGGGCCCAGCCACTCTGCGGCATGTGGGATCTTCCCGGACCGGGGCACGAACCCGTGTGCCCTGCATCGGCAGGCGGACTCTCAACCACTGCGCCACCAGGGAAGCCCTAATCTTATAATACTGTACCATGAAAAGTTCAGTAGTACAGTACAACAGCTGGCATAAGGGACTGGCATCGAGTGAACAGGCAAGAAGGGTTACTGACTGGAGGAGGGAGAGGAGGTGGGAGATGGTAGAGCTGAAGGATCCTCAGCAATAGGAGATGGAGGGCGAGCTGCCATTTCACTCACGCCTGACGCTGATGGCACAGCCTTGCTGGAACCGGATGCACGTTCGCATCTTTGTTCTTTGTTTTGTTTTTTCAAAATTATTTATTTATGTATTTATTTTTTGGCTGTGTTGGGTCTTTTTTGCTGCCCTCTGACTGTCTCTAGCTGCGGCGAACGGGGGCTACTTTTCAAGGCGGTGTGCGGGCTTCTAATTGTGGTGGCTTCTCTTGTTGCAGAGCATGGGCTCTAGGAGCACAGGCTTCAGTAGTTGCAGCACGAGTGCGTGGGCTTCAGCAGTTGTGGTTCACGGGCTCAGTAGTTGTGGTGCACGGGCTTAGTTGCTCCTCGGCACGTGGGATCTTCCCATACCAGGGATCAAACCCATGTCCCCTGCATTGGCAGGCGGATTCTTAACCACTGTGCCACCAGGGAAGTCCCACGTCTTTGAAAGTTCTCAACTTGAAGGTTCGTTATGTAGGAGACTTACTGTTAAATATCTGTTCCTTACCTCTGATCTGCCAGTACACCCCCTTGACCAAACCCAACCAGAAAACAGAGAACAAGGAGGCCATCTAGGCTGTTCATGTAGGTCAGCCTTTTAGGGTTCAGAGTAGGGTGGAGAATGGATCCAGAGGGGCAAACAGAGGGTAACCAACAGATTCTTCTTTCCATTCCATTCTTCCTTTTTTCCTCTTGTTTACTTTCTTCCTTCTCTCATATTTATTTATCGAGCATCTATTATGTGTGAGTCATTGGACTCAGAACTGAGAAGACATGGAAACAGAATGAGAATCCTACTATAGCTGTGAGATCCTGTAAATCTGTGTGGTTCCTCCCTATTGTAAAACTATAAGCTCATTATACATGGTTTTGAAAATGCAGGAATAGACAAAGAAGAAAGGAACATAAAAGTAACCCTTAACCCTGGTGGTCCAGTGGTTAAGACTTCGCACTTCCAATGCAGGGGGTGCGGGTTCCATCTGGGGAACTAAGGTACCACATGCTGTGCAGTGTGGCCAAAAAAAAAAAAAAGTAATCTGTAATTTCATCACTTAGAGTAGCTAGTAATATAGTCCTCTAACTCACTAATAACATTTTCATGTATTTTTTCTGTTTATGAATTTACAGACAGTACTCTATTACATTTTTGCGTCTGTACCAGGGTTACTGTGGCAAAGTCAAACATAGTGTTAGGGACAGGCAGTATAAACGGGATGAAATATTGGTTTTCCAGATGTCTTAAGAAAGTCTGGGGCTTCCCTGGTGGTGCAGTGGTTACGAATCCTCCTGCCAATGCAGGGAACACGGGTTCGAGCCCTGGTCTCTGAAGATCCCACATGCCGCGGAGCAACTAAGCCTGTGCGCCACAACTACTAAGCCTCTGCTGTAGAGCTGGTGAGCCACAACTACTGAAGCCCGCGCGTCTAGAGCCCATGCTCTGCAACAAGAGAAGCCACCGCAGTGAGAAGCCCACGCCCCGCAACGAAAAGTAGCCCCTGCTCGCTGCAACTAGAGAAAGCCTGCGCGCAGCAACAAAGACCCAACGCAGCCAAAAATAAAATAATTGATTAAAAAAAAAAAAGGATGGGGCTTCCCTGGTGGCGCAGTGGTTGAGAGTCAGCCTGCCGATGCAGGGGACGCGGGTTCGTGCCCCAGTCCGGGAGGATCCCACGTGCCGCGGGGCGGCTGGGCCCGTGAGCCATGGCCGCTGGGCCTGCGCGTCCGGAGCCTGTGCTCCGCGGCGGGAGAGGCCACAGCAGTGAGAGGCCTGCGTACCGCAAAAAAAAAAAGGAAGTCTGCATTCAGGACATGAAATATAGTGGAAGGGTGTTATTGTATAATGCACAAGTCTGATTTTTAAAAAAATATTTATCTATCTATTTACTTGGCTACGCCGGGTCTTAGCTGAAGCATGTGGGATCTTCACTGCCGCGTGCGGGATCTTAGTTGCAGCATGTGGGATCTTTTAGTTGCAGCATGCAGGCTCTTAGTTGTGGTATGTGGGATCTATTTCCCTGACCAGGGATTGAACGTGCGCCCTGATTCTTCACCACTGGACCACCAGGGAAGTCCCAAGTCTTGATTGTTTTAAGTCAAATGCAAAAATTCAGAACCATTTGTTTAGCCACGTGTACAGTTTAACTAAGTTGAGAACATTCAATTTGTACGTGACTTTTTTTTGCTGTTAGCAGATTGAAGAGTCTACCCAATGATTTATCTTTTTCAACACCTGAAAATCCTTTCTTAAACACCTTAAATCAATTTACATTTTGAACAAGAAAGCAAATAAAGATTGTTTCTTTTTTAACATTAAAAAGTGTGTTCTTTGTTTCAGTGCTGGAGTGTACTCCAATGTGACACAAAGACTGGCCACAGGGACAAAGTTGTCTCATAAATCCTTATTAGTCTCATACATCTAGGTTTTACCTGCATTCATGGTGATCTCCTTCATTTCCTCATGTCTTGGAATTCTTTGTAGTCTCCTTTTGTGATTAAGGTATAGTTCCTTTTCCAATATTTGCTATATAGGACCCATGTAAACAAAGTGTGTGTTGGGGAGGATAAACATGGTACTGACTGCTGAGGATTCAGGCATCTGATTTAACGGGTGGCTTTAAGTGCTAATTAAAGGGAAGTCCTAATTAAAGGGAAGTCCTTTAAGTGCTAATTAAAGGGAAGTCCCTACACAGCTCTTTTTTAAAGAAAGATGTATATCCAGGAAACACAATGAAACACGTTACTTCTGAAATTCCACAAAAAGCTGTAAGGCTGGGACTTCCCTGCTGACACAGTGGTTAAGAATCCGCCTACCAATGCAGGGGACACGGGTTCGAGTGTGGTCCAGGAAGATCCCACATGCCGCGGAGTCACCACATTGAGAAGCCCGCACACCACAACGAAGAGTAGCCCCTGCTCGCAGCAACTAGAGAAAGCCCGCGTGCAGCAACAAAGGCCCAACCCAGCCAAAAATAAATAAATAAAGACACAGACCTACTAGAGAATGGACTTGAGGATATGGGGAGGGGGAAGGGTAAGCTGTGACGAAGAAGTGAGAGAGTGGCATGGACATGTATACACTACCAAACGTAAAATAGATAGCTAGTGGGAAGCAGACATAGCACAGGGAGATCAGCTTGGTGCTTTGTGACCACCTAGAGGGGTGGGATAGGGAGGGTGGGAGGGAGGGAGACGCAAGAGGGAAGAGATATGGGAACATATGTATATGTATAACTGATTCACTTTGTTATAAAGCAGAAACTAACACACCATTGTAAAGCAATTATACTCCAATAAAGATGTAAAAATAAATAAATAAATAAATTTATTAAAAAAAACAACAACCTGTAAGGCAGCCAAGTGTTGATGGTATTTAAGGACAGTAAAAATTTGCACTCTTAATGACCATTGACAGACTTTGTGTAAATATTTTAAAAAATATATGCTTTTCATTGACTATAGATGAAAAGGTGAGGGAAGAAACACAATATTACATCATACCCCAGCATAGAGCTACTATATTTGTATAAAGGAATCACTAGTTATCTGTTGTTTTAATTGAAGTCCTGTCTAGGCATTAAGCTGTAATCTAAATGTTGATAGTGCCTAATTTCAACTCCCAAGATAAACAGAAAGAGCTTATGTATCAAGACTGATTCTCTTTGGCCTCAACGGATACCATTTTCTCTGGCGGCAGTCTTTAGTTCCCTTCCTTCTCAGTACCAAGTCAGTGGTTTTCCTAGCAGAAGTCTCCACTGGTGTGGTTTTTACTTGTGCTATAAAGCTCTCAGGTTTAACATCTGGTTTCCTATAACAACCCGAAGAAGACTTCTTGGTGGACTTTCTGGAGCCAGATAATAGGCTGCATCTTTAAAACTTGGGAAAAATCCATCTCCTTGTTCAGTTAA